ATTACAATACCTCATCTCAAAAATATAGATAGATAAGTAAAAATATCATTTTCAAAATTTTTTAATTTAAGAACACTCTAATATATTCTTAAAGCTAACTGTAAGTAAATGTAAACTATGGGAGATCTTCAATGATGTAATTCCATGCCTCATCAACAAAAGTAAATGTTGTTAATGTTATTGTTGAATTTGTATTATTTTAGTTGTTTACACATATTTGTTTTTTTAATGCAATTGTTATTTTATTTTAATTTGATAAATTATTTATGTATTTATTTATTTTAAATAATAGGTCTTTATTTAATCATTTTCTTTTAACTTTTAAAAAAAATTTATGATCATGTATATTCGTTTGAGAAAGAAGTTTTTCTTTTAACAAAGGGGTGCAAGTTAACATTTTGGGAAAAATTGATAGCCACACTCTCAAGAACTTTCCATCTGAGCAAGTTATTTTCTCTTTTCACAAATGAGATATTTTTGTGATTGAAGTTGTGGTTGAACATATTTCTGTGTATAACAACTACATTGAATCAATAGCTGCATCTGCTGCAAGGAAAGTTGGCTGTCTCGTACCAGAAGGTTTTTCTTGTTAGAATCTGTCTTGCACATTTACAAATCTACCATTTGTCCGTGCATTAAATACTGTTGGCATATCTGGTCTGGTGCTCCAGCTGTTCATCTTAACGTCCTCAACAAAATCCAAAGAAGGATCTGCAGTGTAATTGATTCTGACTTGGCATCTTGATTTCAGTCACTTTCTCACAGACATGGTGTGGCTTTCCTCTGTCTTTTCTACAAGTATTTTCATGGCTACTGTTCTGTCAAGCTTTTTTCCCTGATACCCTAACTACATAAATTAAAACATGCTACTAGACTAGCATCAAGTCCCACCCTTTTACTGTTGAAATAGTTAAATGTAACCTCTACTTCTACCCCAACAGCTTCTTTTCTTGCACTTCCCACTTGTAGAACTCCCTTCCATTTACTTCCTTCCCTGATAACTCCAATCTTTAAAAATTTAAATGCAATGTCAATCACCATCTTCTGATGTCTTGAACCCTGTTCATTTTTTATCCTTTCCTCATTCCTCCTATACACAGTTTTTTTCTCTCACCTTCTCTCTATGTATTTATTCATATTTGAATTTTTACATACGCATATATGTGTATTTGTAAGATATACATTAATATCTGAAACAAAAGTGAAGTGGAAAATTTATAAATGACACATTTTGCCAAGGGCGTCTTCTCTCTTTTGTTTCCTCAGGTTAGACATTCTAATTCAAGGAAACCAAAAAGAGCAGATGCTCTTGGTGAAACATGTCATTTATAAATTTTCCACTTTGTCTCATTATTTTCTCAACGGACACAAACACACACATGTGTGTGTGTGCATATATATATATATATATATATATATATATATATATATATATATTATGGGGGGAAAATAAAACCAATAAATAAAATAATAATAATGAATAATAATAATAAAAAAAAGACATTTTCCCATGATCCTAAGAGTAAAGGAACTGGAAATAAGTTTACACCACTTGGTTTTGCCAAACACTGTTAGGCTGCACTGGTTAGAAAGGCAAACATTTTCTTTCCTGCTTCTGTTTTCTCTCCTTTACTTCAAGATGTAGCACAACATAGTAATTATGTTCCCACTGGGAAACATTAGTCTCCCCAGTCTACTGATGACTGAACTATCTTCCCACTTTGTAACTTCTTTGAAATATAAATTGAGATCAATTCTTAAAATAAAATATCATTGACCAGCAAATGACATAGTTATAACTTTATTATTTATGTCTGCATAAATAATAAAGTTATAATTAATAAACAGAAGAATTTGCAGTATTTTCAGTCCTGACCAAGTACCTTGGCTTCAGTCATTTTCCCATTTTCAGAACCTAGCCTCTCTGTGCTTTTTCTATAAATATTTTCATGGCAATTGTTCTGTTGAGATTTCCTTTTCGGTAACTTAAATTTAAGTGTAGTACTAGATTGGTAGTTAGGTCTCATCATTTTACTATTGAAATTGCTAGATGTAGTCATAAGTTCTATGGTAACAGTTTCTTCTTTCTCACTTTTCACTTTTTGAATTCCCTTTCAGTATCTTGCTTTTCTGTCAACTACGATCTTCGAAGATTTAAATGCAACATCAGTTGTTATCATCTGTCTTTTTCAATCTAGTTCTTTTATTGTCCTTTCTACTCAATAACTTTTTTCTCAGTTTCTTTCACTCTCAATAATCCTTTGTATCTTAGTGGCTTCATCAGTTTTCTTGGGTTGAAATGATTCAAAAACAAGTTTCTCTGTCAACTTATTTCACAAAAAATATTTTGTTTATATTTATCTCCTTTGAAATCAATTCCTGAGATTCTCATAAGATAACAAAATATCATTGACCACCAAGTGACATGATCATAAATTTATTATTTATGTCTCTGTTAACTTATGTTATTTCACAAAAACATCTACCATTCATTCCTCAGCGAATATTGAACACATTGATTGGACATATATTGTTATGCTTGAAATGTTTGATGTTATCATACAAGAGACATGCCTGCCTTTATTATTTTCTGTTTCTCTGCTGTTACTCATGTTATTTTCATATTAATTTAATTTCCCTTCAAAATTTCCCCAATCTAGTTTCAAAGAATATATGTACTTAGATTATTGCCATGTTTCTGGGGAAGAGAATATGCTAAATGCATCCTCTAGGAAAAGTTAAGACTCCTTTCCAAAAGAGGTCACCTTTCTAGTAAATGCTTGCAGACTCAAGTATAAGTCCAACCACTTTTTTACCTATAGACTCAAGTATAAAACCACACAATGTTTATTTATAGACTCGAGTATAAATCTTCCCAATGTTTACCTACTGACTCAAGTATAAACACCCCTAATGTTTGTTTATAGACCCAAGTATAAACCTGACCAATTTTTACCAAAAGTCTCAAGTATAAATCCACCTAATGTTTATCTATAGATTCAAGTAAAAACCCTACCAATTTAAATAACCCAAAAATGTTGATATTTATAAACTCCAAAAATCCAAACCAACCCTACTTGGATTAGGCTAGTCTGGAACAAGGCTGCACTATTAGAGCAAGAATTTTATTCTGTATTAATGTCTTACTAGGCCAGTTTGTTGACCATATCTATAAAGTAGATTATTAGTTATTTAATATACCTATGCTACTCTGGAACAAAACCATAATTGTTGAGCACCTACTGGGATTCAAGCTCCCTACATTACCAAATTGATCTGCTTGGGAAACTTGCTAACCACTTGAGTCTGTATGTAAGTATGCTTACTATAATATTGCTAATTTTCACTCACTGTGTCAAAAGTCCACAGTTTTGGAGCACCCAGTAAGGATTGAACACACTATACTTTGCATATCATAGGCATGACTTATTTGGTAACTTTCACTTTACTGCAAATGATTTTAGCAGTTGTATATTATAAATCACATGACACCTGCTACAGGATAAAATAAGCTGCATATTCTTTTTAACCCATTAATGTCCACTGTCCCATTTTTTCCACCCATAACCATTAAATGGTTATGGGTGGAAACCTAGAAGTAATACTGTATTTTTAAGAACCTATAATTAATACCAGATTTTTTTAAACCTAGAATACTTTTTTTTATTATAAACCTATAATTAACAACTGGTATTTATAAACATATATCTAATAGTTGATTTTTTTTTTAGAATAAAAATTAAAACCAGAAAATTTTAGAAATCTATAATTTATATCAGATGTTCCACGAAAACTATAATTGATACCTGATATTTATAAACCCATAATTAATACCAGATTTTTGTAAACCTTTAATTGATACTTGATATTTATAAGCCTATAATTAATACCAGATTTTTTTAGAAACCTATAATTAATACCTCACCTTTTTTAGAAACCTATAATTAATACCTCACCTTTTTTAGAAACCTATAATTAATATCAGATTTTTTAGAAACCTATCATTAATACCTGACTTTTTTAGAAACCTATAATTAATACCTATTTATAATATTATGATTAATATCTGGTATTTATTAAATTATAATTGATCCAAAAATTTTTATGAACCTATAATTTATACCAGAGTTTTTTTAGAAACCTATAATTAATGCCTAATTTTTTATAAATGTAAAATTAATGCCAGATTTTCTTTAAATATTTATAATTGGTTCTGGATTTTTATTTTAATTTTTACAATTAACCCTAAATTTTATAATGGATATTAACAGGTTAAGCTAACTACTTGAAAAAATGATAAAGTTTTAATTTTGTAAAGCAATACTATAATTACTTTTACTGAACCTAATCTTAAAAAATCTGGTATTAATTATAGGTTTCTAAAAATCTGGTACTAATAAGTTTTTTTTAATTGAATTCACCCCAAGCAAGGCAGTAAAGTGACTAAGATACAAGGGGTTAATATGTGTGAAAGAATTAGAAAACGGAAACATTATTAATGTGCAAGAACAATAGAAATGTTATCAAGAAAGCAGACAGATTGACATTGCATTTAAATTTTTGAAGATCAAAGTTGACTGCAAAGCATGGAACCAGAAGAGAGTTCCACAAGTGAGAAGTGTGAGAGAAGAAACTGTTAACATAGAACTTACAGTTACATCGAGCCATTTTGACTGCAATGTTTTAATTTTACTTGAAGCTGTTGCTGAATATAATGAAGACATTTACTGAGTTTATTTTATTGAATTTAAACTGTCTGTTAAGATGGATTAGAGAAAGAAGAAAATGGAGATGAACTTTCTGTCCTGTTTTATATTGTTTCAAACAGGGATAAAGTGTGTGTAAATCAGAAAGGGATGGTAAGAGATTTGGCCAGTTAACTGTGCAACTGCTGCTAGCCTGTCTGTGTAAATAACAGTGACCTTTTTTTTTTTTTCATTTAACTCTCTTTTTTTCTTCTTCTTTTTTCCTTTTCTTTTGTGTGGGGGAGGTTTTTTAACTGCCAAGGTGACAAAACTAGAAAGCCAAGTTATTGCAGTAAACAAAATATAAATGTGGGGGAAAAGGTGTGTGAGATGGGAGGGGAAGAAGTGGGGAAAACAAAAAGAAAAATGACTAAATAGAGAGAGAAGAAATAGGAAGTCACTTGGGGAGGAAGAAAAAGAGAGAAACAAAAACAATGAGGAAAGAGAGAAGGAAGTTATTTGATAGGGGAAGAAAAGTAGAAAGCAAAAATAATTAGAAAAATGGCAAGAGAGAGAGAAAAGAAAGAGAAAGTCACCTGAGGAAGAAGAAGAAGTAGAAAACAAAAGCACTGAGCATAGAGAGAGAGAGAAATACAAAATCATTTGAGAGAGGGAAGAAAAGTAGGAAGCAAAAACAAAGAAAAAGTGAGAAGAGAGAGAAAAAAGAAAGAAGTCATTTGAGAGGGAGAAAGAAAGTGGAAAGCAAAAAATAAAAATATTATAGAGTGAGAGAGATAAAAAGAGAAAAGAAAGAGGAAGTTATCTGAGGTGGAGAAAGGATGAGAGAGAGAGAGAGAGAAATTCAAGAGTAACATATATCAAAGAAAGAAAAAAACAAGCAGAAAAAAAGGAGTAGAGAAGGAGAAAGGCTGGTGAAGGGGATGCAGGTAAATAGAATAACTAAAAGACGCTAGAGAGAAAGAGAGAGACAGAGATAAAAGGAAAGACAAAAAGAAAAGCTGTGGCTGTAAAGTAGAAAAATAAAATAGAAAAAGAGAGTAAAATCCATTAGGGGAAAGAAAATGAAAAGAGAGACAAAGAGAAAAATTGATTGATAAAGAAGAGAAAGAAATAACAAGCAAAAACATGGAAAAGAAAGTAAATAAAGAAAAAGGAAGCGAGTTTTCTACTTTTCAATTCTATTTCCTATTTAGATTTGGTCAACACTGGTACAAGGCCTTTTTTCTTAAGCACTTGAAAAGGATGAAAATCAACTGTTTATAGAAAAGTAAAAGAGGGCTACAGAAAGAAGTAGCAAAAAATGCTAAATATAAAAAAAAAATACTACAGTGAACGATGTAACCAATTGAAATGATATATGAAAAATCTTATTTGGCCAATGCAAAGATGTTTTTTCTTTTTTTTTTTGTTGCTTTGTTGCAGTTTTTATTTGTTGTTGTCTCACCCCCAAAACTTGTTGCCAAATTTGTGAGTCAGTTTTAATTCAGCAGTTCTAGAAGTTCCCTCCCTCTCTTTTGTTTTCTCTCTCACTCTCTGAATATGGCAGTGGGTTTCAGGAAGGTGCAAATGTGTGTGTAGTTGAAGTACCAAGATTTGCAAAGTAATTTCATGATAATATGACTTGGTGTGTGCATATTTTTAGGTAGATAGATATAAATAGACTGAAATAGATAAATATGAACAGGCTGACATAGATATATTGGTAGAAACAGGCTGAGATAGATATAAACAGACTGAAATTGAATGATATGAACAGACTGAGATAGATAGATAGATATATAGATAGATAGATAGATAGAAACAGGCTGAGATAGATATGAACAGACTGAAATCAAATGATATGAACAGACTGAGATTGATAGATATATAGATAGATAAATAGAGACTGAAATAGATATGAATAGATAGAAACAAACTGCAATAGTTTCTCTCTGAATTTATGGGATGGTGAATTAACATTATTTAGATACAGACTATTTTCCTCATCTTTGTTGTTGTTATCACAGGACTATTACCTAGTGGGTTAAAGCATTAGTTTGTATAGTTGGTGATGTGCGAGAAAAAAAAAAAACAAACAACTTCTTGAGACAAAAACGAACGCCTTCTTGCGACACAAAAACGAACGCCTTCTTGCAACACAAAAACGAACGCTTTCTTGCGACACAAAAACGAACACTTTCTTGCGACACAACAATGAATGCCTTCTTGCGAACCAGAAACGAATGCTACACAAAAATGAACGCCTACTTGCGGCACAACACTTTATGACAGCCAACGAGCAAAACGGCACCCAAGACTGCTGCCGACGGACGACCGACCGCAATGGCTTTTGCTGCCCAAGAAAAGACACCAAACGACTTGCGCATCTTCTTATAGTCCTCGGTCGAGTCCATTATGGTACTCCAAGGTGTGCTCGGCGACAACACACACACGCAGTTCGAGGATGTTTCTGCGCATGCTTGTTACAGGTGATATTAATTTCGAGTTCAATTCCTAGTCTAAGGAGTGTTTACTTGTATTCAGTGGAAATGGGGTGAGCAATAATTGAGCAGTACTAAAAATAAGAATGAGACAAGTTATCCATAGACAGTGGGGTAGATCAATCTACCCTCATAGATTTAATAAAAGGGTTCAGTTTGAAATTCCCTGTAGGTTACTCAAATCGACATACATGATGAAGTCCAGAAGGTATAATGTCCACAATGTTGCAATAGCAACAACAAAAATGAGGACAATTGTCAGCATTTAAATAATGTTTTTTAATAATTTCTCCCCAAGTAAGGCAATAAAACAACTAAGACATAAAGGGTTATTGAGTGTGAGAAAATATGAGAAAAAGAAAACATTATTAAGGAGTGAAAACAATAAAAGAACAGGAATTATGAAGATGGAAGATAACGATTGGCATTGCATTTAAATTTTTGAAGATCAAAGATGGCTGGAAAGCAAGAAGACAAAATAGAGTTCCACAAGTGAGAAGTTCAAGAGAAGAAAATGTTAGCATAGAACTTACAGTTATATCTAGACATTTCAACTGTAAAATGATGAGACCTAACTGCCAATCTAGTAATGTGCTTAAATTCATAAAGTCTAGGCCCCGAAGAGGAATGCTCATCAGAGCAATTACCATGAAAGTATTTATAGAAAAGAAATAACAAAGCTACATTACAGTGGTGAGAAAGTGACTGAAGCCGAGATGCAAGGTCAGGACCAATAACATTGCAGATTCTTCTTTGGATTTTACCAAGAATCTCTAAATAGCAAAAGTATCAGACCAAATGTGGCAGCGATATTCAATGCATGGACAAATGGTAGATATATAAATGTCTAAAACAGAATCTGGCAAGAAAAATTTTCTTGCATGACATAAAGAACTAATTTCAATATAATCTTTCTATTTCATGTCAGCAGAAGATGTTAGCCCAAGAAGTTACAATGAGTTACTCTCTTGGTGGTTAGCATCAACCATGCTGATGGAAGGCAAAAAAAGCTTACCTCAAATGATTAAAAGAGAATAGGTTTGTTTAGAGGGTATTAAAATTAACAAGCCATTTCTTGCCCCAATTAATAACAGATTGTAGGTCATTTTTGACCTCAGCTGTCAATTTGACCTTATTGAACTGATCAAACTTACCATTAAGACAGAAATAAATAGTTGTGTCATCAGCATAGATACCAATAAATAATGTAAATAATAATGGGATAGGTATGAATATACTTAGATAAAAAGATACATGTGAAACTGAGATAGTGACCTAGCTAGATTGATATGAATAAACTTAAAAAAATAAAATGAGAAAAGTAGAGATAAATAGACTGAGATATACACATAGACTTAGATAGCTATGTCTATCTCTCTCCATATATATGCATAGAGGTTGATATACCGCTAAACAAAACCAATCTCCATTATATATATCTATATATATATATATATATATATATATATATATATATATATATATCAAGAACAATATTGGGTGAAAAATTTTACTTTTTCCCCAGATATATATATATATATATATATATATATATATATATATATATATAATAATAATAACAATATATGTAGATTTTTATATATCAAAACAAAAAGAAAGAAAAAATGTATGATAAATTGGGAAAAGTTTTTGTGATGCATTTCATCTGTTTGACTGGGTTTGTTTACATTGTTGTGACTACACATGTGCACAAATAAGAGATGCTGGGAGTTTCAAAATTTAGAAATTAATTTTTTTTTCAGTCTAGCCAAATTCATCTAGATTCTTTTTCTTTTTGTTTCCATCATCTTTGTTATTAAATATCCTGTCAAGAATGGTGAAATGTAGGAAGCAGAACATAAATTTGTTGTGGATGAACTTGCCATTAAACACTTTCCATTGCACATGTGTAGTCACAACAATGTAAACAAAGCCAGTCCAGTGAAGTCTTAATAGATGAAATGCATCACAAAACATTTTCCAATTTGTCATATATATATATATATATATATATTTCCAAAATTGAAATCAATCAAATTTTATTGGTCTTGTGAAATAAAATATTACTATGGCTTTCTGAAGTCTCCAATTTGTTAATTAATTATTACTTGCTCTGTTTATTACATTGAGCTGCTGTGGTTTATATCCTCCCTGGAATTATCCATATGGACTACCAATTAACTATATATATATATATATATATATATATATATATATATATATTTAGAGAGAGGGAGGCAGGGATTGAAAGAGGGATAAATATAGGAGATAAAGTGTGGACATAGTAATCAACACTGTATGGTGACCATCAGTTTTACACCTCACTGCAACCTTCAGACCAAGTCTGAAAATTATAGTCAAATCTAGTCTCATGCCATGGAGCTGCACATGTTCTCTTTTGTTCATTTCAGAGGGATAGGATTGCTGGTCTTTGAGATGCATTGTAATGCCAGTAGTAGCAATATCCACAGCACAGAGAAGAGCAAATTTCACCCCAGGAATGTCAACACAAAACTATTAGACTTACATACCAATATTGTATAAAAGGTATTGAAAGTGAGTTGATATTAGTTATTTCTCCCTAACTCAATAGATTCTAATTAGCAGCAGCAGTCTTGTCACATTTGCAAATTAAAAGGAACTCAGTCCTGGAACTTTCTCAGTTTCTTTTTAGTAGCTGGTGTGTCAGTTGCCTGAAGTATCCCTTGTCAGTCTGAACAAAGAATTGCTTTATTTAATGTGATTTTAATATTCTGGCCTAAAATTTGAGAAGCTAGTAGAATGGCTCCTGTTGCCATCAACATAGCTTGGAATTCAGAATAGTCTTTCTCTCTTTAGGATGTAGACAATTATGGCTCTCTACAAATTTCTTTTATTTATTATCTATGAATTACCATGACTTCTTGGGAAAGATAGTGGAGTGGTTTTCCTGTTGCCTTTCCTATAGTTTGAAATTCAGAGTAGTTCTCTCTTTTTAAGACTTAAGTGATTATGGCTCTCTACAGTTTCCTTTTTTTTTATTATCTGTGAATTACTGTGCCTTCTTGGGAAAGATAGTGGAGTGGTTTCCTGTTGCCTTCACCACAGTTTGGTATTCAGTGAAGCCTTTCTTCATTCAGGATATAGGCAATCATAGCTCTCCTCAGTTTCCTTTTCTTTATTATCTGTGAATTGCCATGCTTTAATGGTGAAAATAGTGGAGTGGTTTCCTGTTGTCTTCTCCACAGTTTGCAATTCAGAATAGTTTTTATCCCTTCAGGATGTAGGCATTCATAACTTTCCATACATTCTTTTTCTTTATCATCTATGAATTGCCATGATACACTGGTGAAACACCATTTAGTACCTGTTAGACTTATATACCAATATGGTATAAGAAAAATTGAATGTTAGCCAATCCATGATGATGCAGGTTGTTCCACTCCCTCTGACTCAATAAATTCAAATTAGCAGCAAGAGGCTTTTCAGAACAGCAGATTAAAAGAAACTCAACCCTGGAGCTCAATGAAAACTTTCTAATTTTCTCTTTGGTTGTTGTTGTGTCAGCTGCCTGAAGAACCCTTGTCAGTCTGAAAAAAAGAATTGCTTCACTTAATGTGTTTTTGATATTCTACCCCAACACAAACTACTGGGATCTGTTTACTTGCAGCAGGGATATGGGCACAAGTGTACATCTATGCAGACTTCCATTTACATGGTAAAAATCATTATATATGTTTCCATTGGGGTTACAAGATAGTCACCTGAGGGATCGAATGACACTCTGCAGTTTTCAATGATGATAGCATGTTCTGTCTTCATTCAACTGGTGACTGTGTGTGAAATATAGACTTCAGCAACAACATCCTCCAGAAGATATTTGACAGGTCCAACCCCTAGCATCATGGGATGGGGTGTCAAAAGTTACAATACTCACTTGCTTTTGGCATCCGTACCACATAAGTCAATCTCTTCTGCTTACTGGAAGGCAGGCAGTTTACTGTTCCCTTACATGATACATGTACTACACAACATTCTCTGCAAAATATTCAGCAACTTCCCTGGCCAGGATATTCAATAGACCTGTTCAATGTTCAAAAAACACTCATACACACACACACACATATATTGTGTATTTAGGCAGCAATCCCTTTTTTATACATTAAAGATGACTGACAAGATACATTTTATTTAATTTTTTTGTGTTTGTACAAGTGTTTTCTTTTCTGGACACAAAGTGGGCAAAAATTGCAAATGTTCAGCATTTCTGAGTGCTTTTGGCTATACGTTTAGCCATCATCAAAGCTGATTTTATTTTTACTTTTTAACTGAATGTATGGGTTGTGTGTATGTATCTACAGTTATAGGGATATTTTATTTTCCAAACACAGCCAGCACACTGTAGCCATTTTTGTAGCTAATGTTACTGAGAGGTGGCCTCCTTCCCTTTATTATTTTAATCTTTTTTACATGTGGATGAGGTTATTATGCTTGTAATTTCTACTATTATGTTTCAGATGGTGTCTGATAGGTTTATGCATATGTTTTATATGAGTTCTAATGGAGCTGTGGTTGGATAGGTGTAATATAACACAAGAAAAATTCTTCTACGAACACAAGGAAAATTAAATAAAAACTTTAATTACAATACATTGTCAGTTGGCTTTTAACAAAATATATATATATATATATATATATATATATATATATATATATATATATATATATAATAAAAAGGCTTAAACACTAATATTCCATGGTCATAATTTATTCCATTGGAATCGTAAATATCCTTACTCTGTCCCGGACATTGAGTTCTACCTGGATTCTATCCTCTTGGATTTATTTTTTATACAAATATATATGTATGTGTATGTATGTATATGTATTTATATATTTTAGATATA